ATATATATATATATATATATATATATATATATATATATATATATATATATATATATATATATATATATATAAATAAATAATATATAGGCCCCTCCCACCATGCATCTTGTTTTGATGTCCTTCAGGGGGAGATCAAGCATTAATTGGGGAGGGGGGTCAATCCCCCCCCAAAACCCCCCTGTAATTCTCACTCTTGCCTGTATATTAGAACCCGTATGTGCTAAGGGAAGGTCAGGCTTTATCTAAGCATGTCAGACCCCATCATGTTCAAACACGTGCTGAAATACTCTCAGAGGCTCCGGCACTGTAGGGCACATGTTTTCAACACGGTGTAATTAACACTATTATGCTGTGGTGAAAATGTACCTGCCATATTAAAACTCCCATTGTTGAAGCTTCAGCTTGATTAATAATCCTACAAATAAGTATTATCCAACATACATTTATGCTTATAATTCATAGTCGTCATATAATCTCATGAATTTTCCTTGTTAGACAGTACTATAAAAGGACGTGTGAGCAAAAATAATCACCAAAACTAGAATGAAAGATTCTTTTTAATTTATTTTTCAGCAATTATAAACATTATTTGCCTTTGGGTAAACTTTCTAGAACAAAAAACATTTGAATAATAGCCTACCTGATTTAATAAGTCATATTTAATTAAAATTAAACAGGTTTTCCCATATCCCTATAGTCATTCAGCTAATAAAATAATAAATTATATTAAATTAAACACGTTTTCTCATATCCCTATAGTCATTCAGCTAATAAAATAATAGATAATATTAAATTAAACAAGTTTTCTCAAATCCATATAGTCATTCAGCTAATAAAATAATAAGTATTATTAAATTAAACACGTTTTCTCATATTCATTCAGCTAATAAAATAATAATTAATATTAATTAAACATGTTTTCTCATATCCCTATAGTCATTCAGCTAATAAAATAATAAATTATATTAAATATAAACACGTTTTCTCATATCCCTATAGTCATTCAGCTAATAAAATAATAAATTATATTAAATTAAACACGTTTTCTCATATCCCTATAGTCATTCAGCTAATAAAATAATAAATAATAATAAGTGTAAACACGTTTTCTCATATCCCTATAGTCATTCAGCTAATAAAATAATAAATTATATTAAATTAAACACGTTTTCTCATATCCCTATAGTCATTCAGCTAATAAAATAATAAATTATATTAAATTAAACACGTTTTCTCATATCCCTATAGTCATTCAGCTAATAAAATAATAAATAATAATAAGTGTAAACACGTTTTCTCATATCCCTATAGTCATTCAGCTAATAAAATAATAAATTATATTAAATTAAACACGTTTTCTCATATCCCTATAGTCATTCAGCTAATAAAATAATAAATAATAATAAGTGTAAACACGTTTTCTCATATCCCTATAGTCATTCAGCTAATAAAATAATAAATAATAATAAGTGTAAACACGTTTTCTCATATCCCTATAGTCATTCAGCTAATAAAATAATAAATTATATTAAATTAAACACGTTTTCTCATATCCCTATAGTCATTCAGCTAATAAAATAATAAATTATATTAAATTAAACACGTTTTCTCATATCCCTATAGTCATTCAGCTAATAAAATAATAAATAATAATAAGTGTAAACACGTTTTCTCATATCCCTATAGTCATTCAGCTAATAAAATAATAAATAATAATAAGTGTAAACACGTTTTCTCATATCCCTATAGTCATTCAGCTAATAAAATAATAAATTATATTAAATTAAACACGTTTTCTCATATCCCTATAGTCATTCAGCTAATAAAATAATAAATTATATTAAATTAAACACGTTTTCTCATATCCCTATAGTCATTCAGCTAATAAAATAATAAATAATAATAAGTGTAAACACGTTTTCTCATATCCCTATAGTCATTCAGCTAATAAAATAATAAATTATATTAAATTAAACACGTTTTCTCATATCCCTATAGTCATTCAGCTAATAAAAAATTAAATTATATTAAATTAAACACGTTTTCTCATATCCCTATAGTCATTCAGCTAATAAAATATTAAATTATATTAATTAAACATGTTTTCTCATATCCCTATAGTCATTCAGCTAATAAAAATGGCAGGTTAAATTGTTGGGTAGGCTATATATTTTAGGTTAGTTTCCGACACTGTAACTGTAACTTTAACCCAATTCAACCCTTTAAAATGATGTAATAATACGCGTATGTGGGCATTATTTTACACACCCCAGCCTATATGCATAGGATATTAATATATAATCAAAATATAAAGATAGATCTGCGCTTCATCCAGACGCACGCACTTCATAACGGTTCTGCTTCCTCCATTCTCAGGCTGCTAGACACATCTATTCTCTCACAGTTTTGTCACATTAGACTGTTCGTAAATAAAGCCATGATGTATGTAATCCTCCAAGTCATGGATATGGGTTTGTAATCATAGATGTATTTTTAAATTAGAGCAGAAGAGGCATAAATAGAAACCGAAAGTAACTACAGTGGATTAACGGGGTTTGTTTATACTGGGTTACAAGACTTTTATGGGAAAGAAGAAATCGTCAGTCAAAATGTGGGTAAGAAAAGTTAGTTTACCTCTCGAACACATGCCGACAGAAGTGATGAACAGTCATAATCCACGGAGTTTTTCAGGTATGACGCTCTGAAACTGATCCATTTCTGCAAAACATCCGGAGCTCACAAACGCCTGCGTGTCTTTGCATATTCCTCTCCTTTATGTATGTTTTGTCTTCTTTTAGTCGGTTCTACAGGTTGCAGAGCGCGCAGTTGACAAGTCTGCTGTTAGTGTGTGTGTGTGTGTGAGTGTGTGTGTGCGTGATGTTCTAACTGCTTGCGCAAAACAGCAACGCAGGTCAAATATTTGCCAAAAAAAAGAGAAAGATTTCCTTCCAAAGTCGGGGTTATGTTCCATACTTAATTTGTTACTCATCTGAAGTATGTTTTAGTCTAAAGGTTTGAGGCATGTTTCTGAGGGTGCTCTCTTCTGCTCACCATGACCGCATTGTTTTATATTGTGAAACAGACTCTTGTCATGGTGGCTTGAGAAAGCCAATATACTGTTAAACTATACTAAATAAACTTCTTCTTCTTCTTCTTTAGAGAATAATTTCCATATGTATCTATTCCTAGATACAACCACCAAACTAACACCAAACCTCCAAACCGGTCTGACTCAGGTTGCTATAGGCTTTATTTTCCAGCTGATCTGACTTATAGTTTTCCAAAAACTGACCCGGAAAATTCGGAAAAGTCCCATTGACTTAACATTGGACCAAACTTTATGACCTCATAACATTACTGCAGACATAAGGTTATATGTCATATAGACTTAAGGTTACGCTCATTTAACGCAGACTACAAATCTGCCAATCCCTGATGACCTTTCAACTTACTAGCCACACCCTATAGCAACCACTTATGATACCCTAGCAACTGTCCCATAGACTTCTATTGTAAAAACTGCCATTGACATATTAACAACACCAATTCATACCAACAATAAACTAATCCATCCTGCACATCCTAGCAACCACCAAGCAACACCTTATCAACCACCTAGCAACACCTTAGCAACCGCCTAGCAACACCTTAGCAACCACCTAGTAACACCTTAGCAACTGCCTAGCAACACCTTAGCAATCACCTAGCAACCACTCAGAACACCCTAATAACCACCTAGCAACACCTTAGCAACCAAGTAGCAACACCCTAGCAACTGCCTAGCAACCACTCAGAACACCCAAGCAACCATCTATCAACACCTTAGCAACACCCAGCAACCCCTTAGCAACTACCTAGCAACCACTCTGAACACTGTAACAACAACCTAGCAAAACCTTAGCAAGCGCCTAGCAACACCTTAGCAACCACCTATCAACACCCTAGGAACCGCCAAGCAGCACTCAGGAACCGCCTAGCAACCACTCAGAACACCCAAGCAACCACTTAGCAACACCTTAACAACCGCCTAACAACCCCTCAGAACACCCTAGCAACACCTTAGCAAGTGCCTAGAAAAACCTTCAAACCACCTAGCAACACCTTAGCAACCACCTAGCTACGCCTTAGCAACCTCGTTTAGTAAACCATCTAGCAAACAAATTTTTGCCGCGTACATTTTGTTTCATCATATTTATTTTGCATCACATTTGACACATCAGGCGTTTGTGCAACTTTTGATGACAAAAGAATAATTTTGCCCGGGACATTTTGACAACAGAGAACATTTCAGGCAGTCTTTCACTTTGTTTATATATATATATATATATATATATATATATATATATATATATATATATATATATATATATATATATATATATATATATATATATATATATATATATATATATATATATATATATATATATATATATAAATATATATATA